GCCATTGGACTCTGCGCCAGGCTGTTTTCACTCGGGGCGCCCCAGAGGGGATCAGGTGAGACCCCTCCCTGCCCCAAGGGACACAGACCCTGCAGTCAGCCTCCATTACCCAACCACCACCACACTCCAGGCTGCTTTCCACATGCTTGGGAGGGAATCTGGGAACACTGGTGGAGGGAAGATGACACTGGTGGAGGGAAGATGATACACATGGTGTATTCAATATTCCAAAAATAGCATGAGTGAAGTCCCACGGAACCCAAGTCATGCAGAATTTTGTGGCCTTGGACTCTGGGCTCAACGGGACCCGGGAGCAGAAATACTCTGCCTGCTTCCCCCAGTCTCCAGCAACCCAGGGCTCACACCAAAAGCCATCCCCTGTCAGTGCCAGATAATCTCATCAGCCACCCTCCAGAATTCATGGCTGCTTCCCCTGGAAGGGAGCATAAGATGAGGCTCCCATAATCATGCCAACAGACTCTGCACCAGGCTGTTTTCACTCGGGACACCCCAGAGCAGGTGGCGGGTAAGAGCCCTTCCCATCCCAAAGGGACCCAGCCCCTGCAGCTGACTTTCACTACCCAACTGCCGTCATGCTCTAGGCCACTTTCCACACACCCCATCCAAGCCTCACATATGAGTGAACATATTCCTGGACCATACAACACATCATAAGACACCTCTTACCCATTTTCCAGAATTACTACACCATATTTGATGGGGTTCAGACAGTAGGCAACAAGTCATAGAGGGAAATATATATATGCCTCCCAGAGAGCCTGGCAAGCTACCGAGAGTATCTCGCCCACACTGCAGAACCCCATGCTGTATTCAATATTCCAAAAATAGTAACAATAACAGGTCTCATTCCCCTGACCCTGAAAGATCCTTTAGTATGGCAGCATTGGGAAAGACGAGTAAGGAGAGGCTGCTAAAATCTCAGGGCTGGGACGAATGGAGACTTTACTGGTGCCTGCTTGAGTAAATTGATGAACAATGGGATGACAATGAAACAGTGATACAGTGATGTAATTATGTAAAACTGTGTTAAAATTTAATTTTGACCATGAAGGATGATAAAAATGTCATCATTCTTTACCTAGACCCTGTGATTATCTATTTAAATACCAATTTAATCATGAATTTATATGAGACTTTTCTTAAAAATAAATTGTGTGCAAAATTTCCACTCATTAGTTTAAAAAAATGTTTTGTTATATAAAGAAGAGTAAACTTGAATTTATATTAATTCAAGCATAATGATGTAGAATTCTAGGGTCATCAGAAAATTGCAGGAAGGATAAAAACAGTATGTAGTCTTTTGAAGATTACAAATTAGTAAGCATTGTTGAAAGAATGTTTGTGTGCTGTGTCCCAACCTACTGGAGATTGCTCAGAGGTCTGGATCATATGCTTTGCATATAAGAACCCCTGTGTTAAATATATTCACCCCCTACACCTCTTGTAGTTGCCCCCACCAACACACAGAGAAATGTTTCTGTGCTATTTTTTGACTTAGGAAATTAAATGATGAAATGTAGAGTTGAAAGATATTTTAGTATTTGCTTGTTTGAGGGCCATATACTGCAATGCTGAGGGGGTTTGAACCCCAGTTTCCTATATATTGTCAGCTTTCTTGAGCTATCTGTGAGGTGAAAAAAGTGGAGGTCAAGACGCATGCATTTGGTAGCTGAGAACTGCCTCCCAAGTCTCCCCAGCAGAGAGACAAAGAGTTGGGGGACCACGAATAGATGATCAAAATGACCCATTTTAGTGCAGAGTTGTTAGCATACTTAAAGAACACTTAAAGGGGTTTGGGGTACTTGAATGTGCTTAGGTGTGGTTGATCATTACAGAGGAAAATCATTGAGATGGAGACACTTGCCTTGGGGGGATTAACTCAAGGAGATGCTCTGTCTCCCAGGGACATCTATTGCTTATATATAATGCTTTTCTCTTTCCCTTTAGTTGTACATATTAAACAGTTAAGTTTACTTCTTATTAATACTTGCAGCTATTTCGATAAACACAGTAAGACATATAGATTATAAAAGTCAGTTGTCTCGGCTCCTAGGGCAAGGATGTTGACTTCTACCGTAAATCCCAGGCTAGATCCTCAGACTGATTAAGCTTGTCCTTCCCCATGGGGGTCCTTTCTCTTCAATCATAACAGCTTGCATCAAGACAATGCATTTATGCTTTTTAGGCTGTCCCATTTTGGTGCCAGGTTAGCTTTGCCACTCGCTCCAGGTCCATCCCAGTCCCACAGTGGGACCTCCTTTTTGTTGTGTTAGGAACTACAGCAACTGAAGTAATTATAACAAATTACCAGAAGTGGTACATTTCAGAGTCAATCAACTCCCAAATATTAGGAATACAGCATTAACGGTCTTTCTGTGTGTAAGCAAAGGACATTGCTCTAAAATATGAAAAGGCTATAAGGGGAAATAGAAAAGCAAGGAATTCACTTCAAATACAAAGTCCAGAGTTACCAGAATTTTTGGCTTATAAGTAACCAAGACTCTCTTGGGGAATTGTGACAATGAGCACAAAGGAAAGGTTAAAGATAAACTCTGGGGATTAGGGGTGCTTGCAAGAGCACTGTAAGCTTCTGGTGGAAGGGGGAAGGGGTAATTCACTGATGAAGCCTAAAAAACTTAGGGTTAATATCCAACAAACTTTAGTAAATCTTATGAGAACTTACTTGCGTTCTTTACGGAAGTGGGAAAAGATTGTTCAGAATAAACATGGACTGCAATTAGAGCTTTGAATTCCATCTTTCTGCTGCCCTTAATTTTAGAAAGAGGTTCCAATTTCAGGACATTACGGTGAGAATAAGAAATTGTATCCACAGTGTGACCTAGAAAACAGGACCTGGTCCCCAGTCTTATGATAGCCCAGGCAACTCCAGTACACTCGGGCTGGGGACTGGGGGTTTAGAAAGGCATCCATTTAAAATGATAAAGGAAAAATCTTCAGTGCCGTTTCTCTTAATTAAATTGTCAACATATGTTCTACCTCTTGGGGTTCTGATAGGAACTGGTGGGTTGAAGGGATGAAGACAGGATTAGTGAGGTGGGGAACCTGATTCTGGCAGATAGCAATGTTGGCTACTGACAAATTGCAAGAAACCTCCTCACAAAGTAAACTCACCCCAATGGGAGCCACGCAGGAACTTTCACTCAGGTCTTCAAACTGCAAACTTCAGAGCTGCAAATTTCCCTGAAGTGTTTCTGACAGGTCCTGGCACAAGTCTGGCATATCGAATACTCTCGGTAGCTTGCCGGGCTCTCCAAGAGGGACGGAGGAATCGAACTCGGGTCGGCCATGTTGGCCGCTTGTAAGGCAAACGCCCTACCCGCTGTGCTATCGCTCCAGACTGCAACATGCTTTTGCACTGAAAACAGAGTTTTGCACTCACTTGTTCAGTGATAGTGACACAAGAAAGAGATCTGGACTTGCCATCTGGACTGTCCATGACGGCCACGCACTGTGGCAGCAGAGAGGGGCCAGCATGGGGTGGCTTAGGGAAGGAGACACCGGGCAGGGCAGAGCCCCAAGTGACCATTCTAGGTCTGACAGCTACTCGGGAAGCCATGGGCAGAAGAAAAATATTGGTGGTATGAAACCACAGGCAGATTCCTCCTCCCTCCTTGCCCTCTAATTAGGAGGCCTGCAGCAGGCAAAGGGAAGAAGGCTGGAAGAGAGATGACTTCAAACGCATTCACTGCTGTTAGCTATACTGCCCTGTGCATTTGGTCTTTCCTAAAATTCTGCCTTCGTATTCTGTTCTGTACTTTGAGTCCTTTTGTGAAATTTTCTTTTCAGTTGTTTATTTTATTGTTCTGGTTCTGAAATAAGCCAACACCTGAAGGAATTTTCTCCTTGGTGCTTTTTTAGTTCTGTTAATTCTATGTTGCTAGTCTGCTGTCCAGCTGAAATCCGGGGACTGTATAATTATGATGTCATTTCACCATTGGTGCATGATTATGGGGAATTTTCCCTAAGTATGTCTGTTGCCTTTATTCATTTTAGGCATCCAACGACTGCCTATTGAAGGAATGATGTTTAAAGAAAGTACTGTGAAACTACAATATAACACAGACATATTTTCATATACTATAATAAATTGATTTAGGATCACATGCCTTGAGGTTCTGAAATTATATATCTATTTCTACATTGTTTCAAATTCTGGCATACTACTAAGCCAGAACCATAGCTATTGTTCCTCCTAAAATCAGCAAAAATATATATATTTTTTTCTCCTCCATGTATGGAGTTGTCTGTGACCTTAAGAGAACCTAGTAGCTCAGTAAGGAAAAAACTGAATTTTTTTTCTTCTTACACTCATTCTGCATCAGAGAAGCAGTACAGATGTACTGCAGAGATGGTTTTAGTGCTCCCATTGTTAATATTTGTGTATAATGGAAATGTAGCTTTTAGCATTGGCAGAATTTTTTATATATAATCATTCTCTGCAGAAAAAAAAATAAAAACCTTCTAGTGCTCGATCAGAGATAATCTCAATCAAAATACTTTCATTCTTATTTTTTCATTTTTTTTCTTGAAAATTTCTTTTTGTAATAACACCATTTAAACCAAAGCAGTCTTTGACATATAAAAATGAAGTTACAGCCAAATATTGGCCAATTATGTCATTCATACTGTAATCAAATGTTCTTCTCTAGAATGTGTCAGAATTGTCCAGTTTTCTCTAACTTTATTTGGTTTTGAACCCTTATTTTAATTTTGTACAAAGAACTCAGTTTTACATAACTCAGATTAAAACAGGGGTCAGACTAGAAATCACTACAGCTGTCATATCATTAGTCTGAATTTTAAAATGTTTGCTCATAGTTTTATAAGGATGAAAATTCAGAAAGTTGGTTCACAGAAGACAGATTTTGGAGGGAGGATATTTTGAGATATTTGAGGATATTTGGTTGGGTGGCATTGGATCTGCAGCCTCTGCTGACCTGTCCTTGTGTTTTGCCCAGTGAGCCTGCCCCTGCAGCCTGAGGGTCACTGCAGCACAGATGGGGTCTCGTCGGTACCAGCAGAGGCTGAGGAAACCGTGTCGGTTGGCAGCTGCTTCGCATCAGAAGACACGACAGAGGACTCGGGGGTCGTGAGCTCCCTGTCAGACGTCATCTCTCTCGACTCACAGCATGACAGCACCAAGTCCAAGGACAAGTGGGCCACAGACCAAGAGGACTGCAGTGACCAGGATCTGGCTGCAACTCCAGACCCGGGCCCCCAGAGGAGCCCCTCCTGGGAAAGGAGCAGCTCAGGAAACAAGCATTCCAGGTGAGTCATGGCACAGCCAGGAGGAAGAGGAAGGGAGGGGCCTCTGGACATGGGGAACGAATGAATAGTGAGAGTGAGCAAGTGTGTGCCCTGCATGCAGGAGGGCTGGGTGCCATCTTCAAAACCACATGGTCTCCTTAGCATTGAACAGGGGGTAACTCTTGAGCATCACTGTGGCTCCTAAACCAAAAAATAAGAGTCCCCTGCTGTTGGGTAACCTGGAGAGTTGTCACCCTCCCTAGTTTGGGGGTTTGCTTTACACAGTCTTGTCTTCATGTTGTGTCCATGCATGCGAGTATTTATAAAAAATAGCTCATATTTTCATGTTTTCCCTCTTCAGATAAATAACACCATTTTTTTAGTATACTTTCTCACTTGACCTAGTCTTACTATTTATCCACCATGATGTGTGTTGTCTGTTCATTGATTGATCTTCCATTTTGTCAGTGGACACATGAGTTCTAGCTCTTTGTTGTTGCAAACAAGAAGAGTTGTACGTATGCATGGGATTTTCTCCAAAAGAAAGTATTGGACCTTCATACAGATTCATCCTCAACCATATGGAATGTTGATGAGCTGGTCTTCAGAGTGACGAGGTGCTGGTAGTTTGATACACAGTCCCTTCTGCTGTGGATTTTGTTTCACGCCCCTTCTTTCCCTCTTTGGTTGGTGGGTCACAGAGCAGTCTCCAGTGTTCAAGGGCTGCATACGTTTAACTCTCACATGTGTCAGGTAAGTCACCTACTTTCATTGAAGTGCCCATACAGTTTGGTTAAAGTATTCCCCAGGTGTCATTGCAGTGATCACCAGGGTGCCACTTCCTAGCCACGGTGCTCACAGATCCTGTAGTGGTGGTCACTGGGGGTAATTTTAGTTGTGGTTCTTGCATACTCCTGGCTACAGTGCGATAAATAAACAATTGCTTGTGGCTCTGGAGGTCATAGACTCAAACAGCAGAGCAAAGAGATCACAGTTGTCTAGACAGTGGTGCCAGGGATTGAACTCTTGGTAATGTGCTCACAGGGGTGGGGCTCTACGCCAGGGTTTTTCAGTGATTTTGCATCTGTGGACTCTGCAACTTTATATGGTTTTCACCTGTGGCCCTTTTGGAATATTCGGAGAGGGGATAGATTGGAGCCTTGTTACTCCTAACTGAAGCTGCTCCTCTCAGCCACTGGGCTCTCCTGAGCTCCTCTCTGCCTTCAGTTTGCCCCAGTATTTCAGATGAGTAGACATCTGACTGCTTTGGGCAGCATATGGGTGTCAAGTATCATTTTATTTTGTTTTTGTTTACAGTTATTGACTAGTAAGCATGAATATCTTTCTTTCTTTCTCTCTCTCTTGTTTTCTTTCGTTCATTTTTTTCATGAGACCCAAAGGTTACTAACTATATAGATAAGATACCTATCAAGATGACCTGCTGGGGCTAGGGGTGAGGCAGGAGAGGGAACCTGGACACTAGTGGAGGGGAGTTGACACTGGTGACAGGACTGGTGATGGAACATTGGAGGTCAAAATCCCAACTATGGATAACTTTGTAACACACAGTGCTTTCGATCACAATCACGACCATCCTGTTATTCGTCGATTGCCTCGAGCAGGCCCCAGTAACGTCTCCTTCGTCCTAGCCCTGAGATTTTTTAAAAAGTGCCAAATTCAAGGCTCTTTCAGAGTTAGGAGAATGAGACCCATCATTGTTACTGGTATTTGGCATATTAGGTACGCCACAGGGAGTTTGCCAGACGCTGCAGTGTGGGCAGGTTACATTCGGTAGCCTGCCAGTTTGTCCAAAGTAGGAATGAGATAATAAGATGTCGCTTCTGGGAGCTGGGTTTTATAGTCTCTGAGTCTTGGCCATCGATGGGATTACACGGTGCCAGGGGGCCAGTTGGTGGGTCACCTACTGGAATTCCACCTACTGGAATTCGGAGGATCTGGGTGGAGGATGCTCAGCCCCGATCAGGTAGGCTTGGAGATCTCAGCCCCGGGACCCGCGTGCCTTTGTTCCTCTGCCGGTACCTTCATGTGTGCAGAGAGTGGTCTCAGCATGGTGGTGGCTGGTTCTGGAGGTCTTCGGCTGCTGGAGCCCTGGTCGGGGCGGGGAGGAAAACTCAACCCGCTCCCCTCCAAGGGGCCCCAGTGAGAACAGCCCAGTGCGGGGGCAGGAGACACACACAGTGCTTTAATAAAATAAAATTGGAGGGTTGGGAACTACATTGAGAAAACAGAAGGGGATAAGGCAAAATCTTTCTTTTTTTGCTTTTGAGCCATGCCCAGCTGTGCTCAGAGCTTGCTCCCAGTTCTGCACTCAAGGGTACTCCTAGCAGGACTCAGGGCGCCACATGCATTGGCAGGAATTGAGTCAAGGTTAAGAAGCAAGGGAGCTTCTTACCTGCTGTCCTATCTCTCCAGATCCATCTTTGGAATCATCATAAATGTTCATCAGAATTTGGTGTGGGGTTTCCCTTGGAGTGTGATGTCAAGAAGGTCTATGTTTTTCCGCACTGTTTTTCTGTGGTTCTATGCTAGTCTTTTCTACGTATGTATGTATGTATGTATGTATGTATGTATGTATGTATGTATGTTTCTGCTTCCAACTCCCTTTTCCAGATTACTGGTTTCCAGTTCCCTTTTCCAAACATGCATACAGTACGTATAAACACTAATAGAAATGAATCAGACAACAAAAATATATTATTCATAAGCTAAGAACCAAAATGAGCGAATGATTTTTTCATGTTTTATTCTAACCTTGTCCACCTGTACATTCAAACCTTAATTTGGTTAGTATAATTGTGTAAATATTCTTATTTTAACCTACCAGCTTGTTACAGCATTTCCCAATGTTGTTATAAAAACTCTAATAATTTTAACACTAAGAATAATTGTAGGGGACAGGTTTCCAGAGATAAGCAGATAAGATGCTTGCCTTGCATGCGACTGACCTAGGTTAAATCTCAAATGGTCTCCTGAGTGCTGCCATCAGTGATCTCCTAGTGCAGAGCCAGGAGTAAGCCCTAAGCTCTGCTGGGTGTGGCCAAAAAAGACAAAACCAAACCAAAACAAACAAACAAGAAAAAAACATAAAATAGTTCTAGGTGGCTAGAGAGATGCTACAGTGTGGAAGATTCTTAAACTGGAATGTGCCTGGCCCCGGTTCTATTACCAGCACCAACTTTCAGGAGTGATCCCTAAGCTCAGAGCCAGGAGTGGGGGCAGAAAAAAAAATAATAATTCTAGGGTCAGTTCATACTTCAGTGAAAGGGAATCAGAAAGTAGTATTCATTTCATTTCCCCCTCATTTGACTGAGATTGATTAATTTCACTGTGATTCGAGTGTTTGCATCCATGAGAAAAAAAGAAGAGCAATCATAAGATTTCCTTCCTAGCACATTTAACAGCAAGAAAAGCTTTCTACAGTAATCTCCAACTCTGCTTTAGTTTGCATGGAAGTTGTGCATATTGAATTCTTCATCTGAAAATAATCTTCCAAAAGAACCCTCTGTGTCCCCTTCCTGCTTCTGGGGATAATACTTTGTTTTTCTGCTCTCAAGGCCTCATGTAAATCAGTTTCTCCATATGTGTGGATCAGAGTCTGTGGCTAGTTAGGGTAATCAAAGATTCTTTGGAACTTGGTTCTTTAGCCAAAGGGCAGCTGGCATGCTCTGCTCCCCACCCGCAAGGAGTCCCAGGAATCAAGAGTCGCCTGGTGGAGAAGACACCAGGTGGGACCCCACCACCCCGGGAAGCTGCTTAGCCTTCCAGAGTCCACCTGACCCTGTCCAGCTTTGCATTTCACTTGTGCTTGCACAGATCAGAGCTCCAAAGCCTTAGGGTGTGGCAGGCCCAGGAGCCCCAGGGCACAGGGCCACGTACCGCACCGCACCATCAGCTGCATCTCTAGGAAATAGAGCCCTGTGAGTCTGTGGCAAGCGTCCTTTCTCCCCAGCCCTTTTGTTAGTGCCTCTGAGGTCCTCAGTCCTGGATGTTGAACACTTATTTGTGGCAGGATTTCTAATGATTCTGTGCTCTAGACTCTTTTGGAAATAACCTGAAGTTGATTTTTTAAGTAGAAGTTATCTCCAAAGGCACAAATACTCAGAGACTTCCTCAGTTTGTCATATGCCAGTTTGCAAATACTTGATTTTCAGTATATTTTCGAGTCCCTATAGGCTGGGCCTATAGTGGAGGCTTATAAACCTTAGAGTACACGTGTTCTCTACAGAGAGAACCTCAGCCTTCATCTACCTGTGACACTGAGAGCTAACAGACCCAAAGTTACTGAGTTTTGAAGAGGAGCCAAAAAACTAGATTTTTATGTGAAACCTCTGCAGTTTAAAGATTAGCAGCCTGTTCGGATTTTTCAAGCCAGACACAATACACCTCTGCATGGCCTGGTTCCAGGTTATGTGACACTGAATGAATGTGCTTTGGTCCTGCTTCCTCTTCTCTTGTGGATATATGTGCATTGCTCAGATATTTCCTGTGCTATGATTCTTGAAAAATCTTTCTTTAAAAATACATTGAGAAGTTATGCTTGCCACCTGTTAATAGAATGTTTTTCTCAGTGAAATGTGCAAGTCTCCTACAGATTCTGTCGCAGAGAAACCTGTAACCCCCAGGATGGCCTCTCCTTTCAGTGCTCTCGCTAAGTGATACATGGCATTGCTGGAGGTGCTGTTTTGTGTCACACTAATCTCATGCATTCACACACACCTCCCTGGTTTAGACAGAGAACACACCCTCTCTTGATCATAGTGCTCCCCAGTGGGTGCTCCATGGTCCTGCCCATGGCATAGGGTGGTAATAACCCTAGCACAAAGGTTGTGAAGGCAGGAGGGACATTATGACATTAAATTGGGGCGTAGGGCTGACAAGTACAGGTTGACCAGATATCAGGTCTGCAAAACACAGGCAATCCATGGCAGGCCACGTGGATCTGTGACCAGAGTAGCCAGGGGTCCAGTTCAATAAGATGAGGACCCATGCTCAAAAGTTAA